ACACCCCTCCCCTTTCGCTCCTCTTTTATTCCCTATAGGAGGGGCCATTCACTGTCCACCTGTGGCCTTATTCCCAAGTCGACCCCTGTTCCTTAGCTGTTCCCTTTGTCTGGCAAGTCTGCCCATGCGCACACTGGGAACAGGCTCCAGCTGTTCGTCTGCCTCACTGATGTCTGATTCTGAAGGCAGCTGATAAGTGGCATATGGCTCTGGCCCCCCTCTCTGCCTCCGACACAGAGCCCTCATCAGAGTCTTCCCCAAACTCCACGACTGGCCCATGTTCCTCCCCAACCTCCTCACTGTCCGAATCTGCTGCTAGCTCCGCTGTGGACAGCCCTAAAAAAACCAATAAAAATAAAAATAAAATAAAAAGCCAATTAAAAATGTTGCAAAATTCCTGCACAGGAAAAAAAGGGAATATCTCTTCCTTTCCCAAGGGCATTTATAACTTTTCTGTGATTACTGCCCCCCCTCCCCCATGGCAGTCTTCCCACCAGAAATGTGAAGTCATCTCCCCATCTTTCCCTTCTCCAGATGCCTAAAGGTTCAGACAACAGCTGGGCTCAGAAATTGTACAACACTCACTTGAACAAGACGGCCCTTTTTGAGAAACCTCGATTGTCCAACAAAGCTTTTATTATTCAACACTTTGCAGATAAGGTAAAGGATTTTGTTTCCTGGCTGATGTGGAAATTACTTTGTGGATCTGTCAAAAGATCTTTTTGCAGTTGTTATTGGGAGGGAATTCTTTAGGCAGAAAATGCTTGGCAGGCAATTCAACCAAGCGGGTATGCTCTAATTGAGTGAGATGGCTTCCTTTATTACCATAATTTTTCAGCGTATAAGACGCACATTTTTCTCTCAAAAAAGAGGCTGAAAATCTGGGTGCGTCTTATGCACTGAATACAGCATTTTTGGCCGCTTGAAACCCCGCTCCCTTCACTAAAATGGCCGTGCAGAGCCTTTAGGAGGCTTTGAGAGAGCTCCCGGGGGCTGGGGAGGGCAGAAATGAGCAACAAATGGGCCGTTTTTTTCCTCAATTTTGCCCCCCAGCCCCCAGAAGCACTCTATAAGCCTCCTAAAAGCTATTCATGTCTTTTTTTAAAGGAGGGGGGGCATTTTCGTGAAAAATGGGCTGTTTTGGGGAGGTCTGCAGGGTGCAAAAACTTTTCTTTTTTAATTTGCCTCTTCAAAATCTTGGTGCGTCTTATACTCTGGTGTGTCTTATAATCCGAAAAAACCGGTAACTACTTCAGTCGGAAACATTGGCAAAGCTTACACGTTTAAATCTGAAATTGGAAATCTCATAAAGCAGAAAACTTTTTGTGCTTATCTAGGTGTACCATCTCTTTCTGGGCCAATGATTCTGTACTATTAGTATTACAAACCGTTGTTTGGTAAAATTAGATATTTGCCTTTCCAGGTGGAGTACCAGTGCGAAGGGTTTTTGGAAAAAAACAAAGATACCGTCTATGAAGAACAGATCAAC